ACATCTTTTAAATAAAGGACACTTATTCAAAAAGTAGAGTGGATAAGCAACACCATACACCCATGCAAAGCAAATTATATTTATAAAATAAATATAGAGAATTCCTTCAGCTATCATTTACATGTTAAAATATCTTATTCCTTGAGTGCAAAAATAACTTTGTTTTTTCTGGATCATTTCTAACAACTTATCAATTGTGTTTATTTGTTCTAAGATGTATCGTAGAGCATTTTTTACAAACAGGTGGTTTCCTCTGTTTGGCAAAAGGCCACAAATATTGGTCAAAAAGACTAGTTCATTAAGCATTACTTAATGCTCAGGTGATTTCTTTTTCACATCATTTTCATTACAGTTGATTTTCAAAGTTGGTCTCTGTGACTGATCAGTCTAAATTATGCCAAATCAGACGGTGATTTCTCCTACAGAGGGGGACACAAGTTCTAATCCTGCTGGAGAGCACATTTTCTTTATTATGTTTTCTCAAATATGTAACTGGTAAACCTAATCAACACTGTTTTTATAAAAAAAAAAAATAAATAAATAAAAAATAGGGCACCTACTAAATTACAGGTGTACACTAAAAATAACATTTGTTGGATTATAAATATACATAGAACTTCAACTATGGGTTAAATAGTAGGTCAGATTTGTCTTGGTTTGCAACCAGTCTAGAAGGAAAACTTTGAATTCAAATACCTGTTTGGTGTGGGTCTGGCAATTTAACCTACTTGGTACAGAAACCACAGCGGCAACACCTAATCTGGTGAGGCTGTGACTCCATACTCCACAGCAGGGGAGTGCTGTTTGGAGAAGCTGTGGTACATGATCTTCACCCGTTTTTTATTTTTATTTTTTTGATTGAATTCACCCCACATAAGGCAATAAAGTCACTAAGAAACAAGGGGTTACTGAGTGAAAGAATAAGAAAACAGAAGCAATGTAAGGAGTGAGAACAATAGAAGAGTAATCAGGAAGACACTACAGTTCTCTGTATTCAGTTCTACCAAAAATTATGAATGTTTCTGCACAAGCTTTCACCATGGTAATTATAATATAAATAACTTCTCACCCCAGAAATTCAGACAGAAATTAAATTCTTTTCCTTATCCAATTTAGACCAACAGAGAAAATCAACTGTATTGGAAATGATATGAAAAGGAAATCACTGGGGTATGAGTTAATGGTCAGTGAACTAATCATGATGACCAAAAAAACATAAATAAAGAAACAATTCTGCACAAGTCTTCACCACTATAATTAAATCATGTATGGGATAGTCTAGCAGTTCAATTCTAAGAATTGAACTGTTGAATCCTCATGCACTGAAAATGGCAGGATTCCATCTCATATATATGGTAATATTAGCCGTTTCCCTACAAGGAAACATTTGGCATTCATTGACCAAGCAGTCAGTACTAATTGAAACTGAAATTTATAATTTATAAAATCTTTCTCTTAAAACATTATTTTATAGGAAAATAGGTTTCTCAAGTCCAGTAGCTGCTATTGCTCTTTTCAGTATTGATGAGGTTTTCCTTCCTAACCTATTTTAAGTGGTGTGGTATGTCAACATCTTCATTATGCCATTATTTTTGCTTCAAGTAACATGTGCTATTCATTTTAGTTGCTGCTACTGAAAGTCCTCGAGTGATCTGCTTTCTGTTATTTGGTACAGTTCTTTGTGATTCTGTATTGCCATTCCACAATATTCAAAGAACGATGGTCTTTACCAAGATCCTCAGGCTTTACTCACTGTGTCTTTTTTCACCATTGAAATGGTTTTATAAATCACTTTTGATCCAGTGTACTTTACCGCTTAGATACAGAGTGTCACAGTCTAGCAAGGCTCTATTTTCCATTGTATGGAAAGCACACTTCCTTATTCAGTTGCTTTTCTCAAAAGCGCATATCTGCTCAGTTTCCTATCATAATTAGCAATTTCTAAAGAATTAAGATTTATTTTTAATCCAACATGTTTATTTTTTATGTGTCGTGTCCTTTCAGGATGTAGACGATCATGGTCCTCCACTTCCCCCTATCCCTTGTGGCTCTCAACAGGTTTTGTGTCTCTGCCAACTCCCTCAGGCCATGCTTTGCCATCCACCTGCCCAAGACTGCCACATATGTCATTTGCTGTTTTCTCCTGTCTCTTTTTCCTTCTATTTGTCCTGTGAGTATCAGATTCTCCAGGCCCTCCTTTCTCATCATGTGTCCCAGAAATTCCATCTGCCTCTTCCTTATGTTAAGCATAAGCTTCCTCCTTGTTTGCATCCTGTTAAGCATAAGCTTCCTCTTTGTATTTGAAATAGACACCAATTTTTATTTCAAACAGTGAGTATTAAGTCTATCGGCCTATACATTTCAGAAATGTTAATAAAGAAAATATGTATGTTTATGGCCATATCACATGAAAACACCGGTTCTTGTCTGATCACCAAAGTTAAGCAGTGTTAAGTCTAGTCAGTACTTAGATGGGTGACTGCTTTAGAATACCAGGTGCATCTTGGAAAGAGAAATCAGAGTTGTTCAAATTTCAGTCAAATTCATTACATTCACTTATGTGCAAGTACCCTTAGGAAAGAGATGAGTCCATCTCTTCTCCTCTCAGCTATAGGTAAATAGCAAGGCAGTCTGAACCCTAGAGCCTTGGCTGTCAACCAATCTTGGAGAAGAAATACTTTGAATCTAAACAAACCCGGAGAGGGTTGACAAAAGGTCAATGAGCTTATTAGAGCCAATGACCAGCATGCAGCTAAGAGATGGAAAACTTGTATCAAAAAAAGCAAAAAAAAAGCCTCCTGATATGTGGCACACAGTTTACCAGAACAGGAACAGGTGTTATGATTGAGAGAGTGTGCATTGCAGAGCACAGGCAATTGATGATTTTAAAACAATTCACTTGTACAGGTTGTTCAATAAAAACTTAGAATTAACTGAACCCTCACTGTCGTTCTCAGTGTGAGAATCCCTTCATATATTGGATTGGCACACAAGTTAGTTCAGTTTAAGCAAATTTTCTACTTAATACCTGAATAAACATACATTTGTCTAACATATATATATATATATATATATATATATATATATTTTTTAAATTGGAATTAAGATACCATTAGTTAATGACCATTTTCACCTACAAATTTTAAATGTAAAATTTGCAGGATTTTTCAAACTCTCTATGGCATCAGTTTGTAAAAAGAGACTGGTTAGTTGGGGAAGTATTGATCTGGGTAATCTACATGGATTTCTGAACTGAACCCTTTATTTAACCTACGAGGTAGACTGTTCTCATTTCACTGCTCATGTCTAGGGATATCATCTAGTTGTTACCTTATTTAGTACTGTTCAGTTATTTCTCACCTGTTCCCATTTAGTTCAATTACACACTACACCTGACCGAGAGATTGAACTCACAATCACTATGTTAGTAAATTAACAAACCATCACTTATACTCACTAGGCCTGTAGTTTATACAGATTGATATACACATCTGAAGGCCAAACTGCTGAAATGTTGTGGTGAAAACAATAAAGATGGGTACAATAGTCTGAATATAAATAGTGTAAATAATGATAACTCTCCATTGCAGAAATTCAGACAAAACTACCAACAAGAACTCCTGCCTCCTCAATTACAATAATGTTCACAGTGATGTAAAATAAAAGTGATGAAGATTTTCTTAAATTGAGCATACCTATTCTCTTCTTTTCAGAAAATATTTTTCAGTAAACTCAAGCACATAAAACATTAAGCTTATACATTTTCTTTTCTTCTTTCATATTAAACTACTGCAGTTATTTTTTTCTTTTTTTTATCTTCATTTTAATTATGTGTGTACTGTTTGCTTTGATTAAAACAAACATTGGTTAACAATAATTTTCCCAACTACTTTATCAATAACCAAATAAACTTATTCTTACAGAAAATAAACATCACCAGTACTAAAAATACAGCACAGCAAAACATTAAAATCTATTACAAAAATTATAAACAAGACGAATTTGCCATGCATCATAAAATAATACATTATTACCCATAAACCTGAGAAGATGGATAAAACTTACAATATACTATAGGCTTAACGGTTCTCATTTGGAGAACTGAGTTCCAATGATAATCATGTTTATTATATTCATGTGCACAAATACTCTTGGGGGAGGTGTGTGTTCTTAAGAACAAAAAATGTATAAATTCACTTTTCTTATATATTTAGGTTTTATTACAATTTTAATCATTGCTTTTTAAAACAACAATCATTATCGACAATGGGAAATTGTTAGAATAATTGCAGTGTCATGGGAAAAACCATCCTTTTTGCAGTTATTTTTATTTTTTATTTTTTTTTTTGTGGGTCATGAAGTTCCAAGTTTGCCACAAAAACAAAAAAGGATAAAAGACACTGAAATTTAATTTATTTATTTTAGTAGTGTTGAGATGTTGAGTGTATCCCCGTGCGTGTATTGAAATAAGGGCAAACACATACGTAGGGAAAAATACTGGTATATCTGAAGAGGTATTTACAACAGAGAGATTAGTAGTCAAACAAATGCAGGTTAGTCAGTAACAATCAGAAAGAGTATAAAGTCCAACTGTATCTTCCGGTAGAGAGATGGAAGTGTGATGGTCACCTGATATTCCCAGAACTCTATAGAACTGTCCTATTAGTAGTAGAGAGATCAGTCCATTCTGATGAGAAGGTGGGTGGCCCCAACAAATAGTGTTTAACTTTTGCTCTTTTTTTTTTTTTTTTTTTTTTTTTTTAGTTGAAACAAAATGCCATCAATTAAGGAAGAAAACACAAAAATAGTTAAATGATTTTTCTTAAAAGAATATTGATTTTATTTTTCATAATTTATTTTTTCCTCATTATTAAGATATTTATATGTAAATATATTTATCTTTAACAAGTACATTTCACTTTAGGTTGTGTTTACATATCTTATTTCTTGTATGCTCTTCTTTTATGTGGCATGTCCATTCAGTATATTGGCAATCATGGCTCTCCACAATTTTCTGTTCTTTTTAGATCTTAATAAATATAGTGTTTTTGTTATCTCTCCTAAACCTTGTTCTGCCATCCATTTACTCAAGTGTCCTTTTTGTTTTTATTTTCTCTAAAACTTTGTCATTTCTCCCATGTTCCATTCATGGTATTCTCAGCAACCTCCTGTAGAACAACATTTTTGTTGCTTCAAGTCTCTTCATCTATGAGGAGATTGTCAAGCATTCACTTCCACATAGGAGGACTGATATTATATAGCAGTCCAGTATTCTTTTGATTCTAACAATTTCTTAATATTTTGCTTAGGTTTAAGAATGCATCTTTCACTATTTGGGATTTCAGTGTCACACTTTTTGTCCCCTGTTAAGACTTCCCAGATATTTAAATTGTTGTACTTGTTTGATTTTTTTTTTGTATGTGCAATTTGTAATTTTCATGTTGGGCTGTTCCTTTTGCATTCTGTCTTCTTGCAGTTGATGTTTAGTCCTTTCTTCTTGCTTTCCTTTACTACCTTCTGTAGGAGTTATTGTAGTTTCATTTTTATGTTTGCTATCAACACTGTGTCATTTGCATATCTTATATTGTTAAGATTGTGGGCCATCAATAATGAATCCTGGTCGGACTTCTAATTCTCACAGGATCACCTTACTATATAGATTGAATATGTCCTGTGAGAAGACAAATTCTTGTCTTATGCTTCTTTCTATTTTTGTATATTTACTGAATTTTCTTTCTGTATGCAGGTGATTTGCTGCCAGTATAGGTTATAGATTATTCTATCCTTCCCAAATATGTCAAGGCTACCTGGCAGTTCCAACAGTTCTTGTCAATTAAGACACTAATTTTCCTAAACACACAGACAAAGAACTAAGTTCATATCCTAGGAGACACTTAAATAGATTGTATGTATAAAATATAAATGAATTAATAAAAAGAAAGTCACTTTTTAACTAAAATGTCTGTTTAGCTTGTGTAAATGGATGGCAGAATAAAGTCATGAATGGATAGTAAAAAGACAAACATTGCTAAGAGCTAAGAAGGATAGTAAGTTGTGGGGAGCCATGATCGCCAATGTCTTTGAAGAAATATGGTACATAGAAGATGTCTTTTTTTTTTTTTTATTTCATATATGCTGTTTGTCAGCTTCTTAAACTCCTTGTAAAATAATTGACACAATTATCTAGAAAATTGTATCTTTTGATTTACAATATTTTATTTATTTATTTTTAGAAAAATCCACTTGGCATCTGCCTTAATTTAAAAGTATTTTATTACAGAAAATTTTAAGTAATTATTAAAAAGGATTCCAGCTAACCCTTTTTTCCATCCACTATTTGAAGCTCAAGTGATGGTATTTACTGAATTTAACTTGGTTTAACACAATTACGTGGGTAGATACCAGAAAAAATCCGTCTTCTTATGCAGTGGTTATGATCTGTTAGATTAGCTTGGTAACCATTACCCTACAATGATATTTGCAATGTGTTGACCTCTGGATATTAGATCTGACATTGGAGATTACAGCTGTTTTGTTCTTGTTTTTGTACTAAACAATCATGGCTTGTGTGAATTACCTGCATATCTCATTCTACTCTAATTATCGTTATGCCATTGAGCCAATAATGAAAACTTGATGACTAATTGTTTATTGAATAGGTTACAAAATTTGTTGGATTTATGTATATCCATCTTGCAAAAGAAAAATTAATAGCTACTAGATTTAGAACAGAGACTTTTCTTTCCTGCATTATTGAGTTTTTTTTTAATCATTTCACCCCAAGCAAGGAAATAAAGCCACTAAGCCGCAAGGGGTTACTGATTGTTAGAGAGTATGAGGGGAAAAAAATACTGTTAAGGAGGGAGAATAAAAGAACCAGAATTAAGAAAACAGAAGATAACGATTGACATTACATTTAAGTTTTTGAAAATCAAAGTTGACTGGAAAACATGGAGCCAGAAGAGTGTCCTACAAGTGAGAACTGCAATAGAAGAAACTGTTAACATAAAACTTACAGTTACATCTTGCCATTTCAACTGTAAAATGATGAGACCTTACTACCAATCTAGTACTATGCTTAAATTCATAAAGTCTAGGTACCAAAGAGGAAAGTTCATCAGAACAAATGTCATGAACATATTTATCAAATTAAAAACTGTTAAAGAATTTATGGTTACATCTTGCCATTTCAACTGTAAAATGATGAGAACCAATCTAGTACTGTGCTTAAATTCATAAAGTCTAACCATACAGGAAAGTTCCTCAGAACAAATGTCATGAACATAAAAATTAAGAAACTGTTAGCATAGAACTTATGGTTACATCTTGCCATTTCAACTGTAAAATGATGAGACCTAGCTGCCAATCTAGTATTATGCTTAAATTCATAAAGTCTAGGTACCAAAGAGGAAAGTTCATCAGAACAAATGTCATGAACATACTTATCAAATTAAAAAACTGTTAGCATAGAATTTATGGTTACATCTTGCCATTTCAACT